CATCTTAGAACATATTTCATTGAACACAAAAGTTTCTGTGCATCAAACAAAACTTTTACATACAGGGGACATCTTTCAGTCCTAACTTCAACAAAAATTTGCCTATAGGGGATAACTTTCCCTCCTAACTTCTCTAAAGCCAAGTTAGTCTATTAGCTTATGGGTCATATTGCTTGTCTGGACTACAACTTCTTCCATATTGCTTATCTGGACTGCAACTTCTTCCATGACATTCTCTTTTTCCTTTATCTTCTGTGTCACTTCTTGAAGTTACTTGTTTTCCCTTGTAAGAGAACTTTTATGTTCAAGAAGTTCTTGGACAAGATATTCATATATGTTGTAGTTATTTTTCAACTTGGTGACCCCTGTTATCCATTCTTCTGGAGTGTTTCCTATGCCAGCATGTCGAAAGGCTTGACTAATCTTTTGGAAATCTGCATGCATGATTTCCACTTTTGTGCTCAATTTCTTTTTTTGGTCATTCAAGTCCTTCAAATAACATGCTTGAGCTTCATAAAAACCTCCTCCACTCTGAATGCCCTGACTAATGCTCTTACCATAAACTGCTTTTGGTATCAATCTGGCAGAATCTTTGTGGAGTACTTTTGGTATTAATATAACAGGATCTATGTGTGTATTGCTCATTTCTATCTTCAGAGTTTCTTCAGTATGTCTTTCCTTGGCCGCATCATATTTTGTTTGATCATAAAACTTTTTGTCCATTTACAATTTCTTTCCAATTTAATGAACAGTCTTTCAAGTCAACACCTTTTGGTTATGCCATGATCATGCAATGCAGACAAAAGAATATAAACAAATTAGAGTAATGTAACATGCATGGAAAAATATAAAAAAATAGAATAGTTAGTACCAACTGATGGAAAGAAAAATTCTATATATAAAGGTATAACTCCTAACCTCATGCTTTCTAGTTCCGTGCTTTGTTTGGAAAAATTAACCTAACTGCATGATTTCTAGTTCGCAGGCATTTATTCAGAGAGAAAAATAATAAATTAAAAAAATTAAAAGCTAAAACTTATTTCTCCTTTGTGTACACCTACGGACAGAGGTTTAGTATTGTCATAGATCAGGAGAAGTTTTAAGGTTTATTTTATGCAGGGTTTCAGTTCTAAAAGTAAAGGTACTTGAATTGTCCTTGTTGGTGCCCCCTTGGGCTGTCAACCCTCAATCTTAGTCCATCACAGACTAAAGTGAATCGAGTTCAATTCGAGGGGATACACTTCTCTATGTCTGACACGGATAATAAATTCTCACGAAGACATAGAGCATATGAACCCCGAAAGCTACTTACTAGGTCTGACACGGAGAATAAATTCTCACGAAGACGTCGCTTTCACTCCCACTTAAAAGGGACAAGCTTGATTATAAAGCTTATGTTATGCAATGCACGTGATGTGTGTGAGGAGAAATGTTCAAACTTCTGACAAACAAATAAATAATGGAAATTAATACTTGAAAATAAAATGAAGCATTAATAAAATAATATACATATAAATATTATGAAAATAATAAGTATATATAAAAATTTTGAAAAGAAAGAATTAAAAATTAAATATATGAATTTTTAATTTCTAATTAATAGAGACAATTTATAATTGATTTTAAAGCTTGATCAGGGGTCTCCAGCGGAGTCGCCAAGCTGTCGTAATCGGTTTTCACCTGGGCACAAATTTTTACTTGGCGCGAAAAATAAAACGAATAAATAAATGATTTTGATTTAAAAAATATTTTGGGAGTCGCCATTGACCTTTTTGGGTTAGGTATGTCAAATACCTAAAAACAATCTTTTAAAATAGTTTTTAAGAAAACATAATTTAAAAGATAAACTGAACTGCGTATAACCAAAAAAAATTTAATAAAAAGGATTCGTGGTCGGTTACGTTTAGGGAAGGATTAACACCCCTATAACGCCCAAAATTGGTACTCATTAATTATAATTTGTCTCTAATCGGAAATTTAAAAATTCAAAGATATATTTAATTTATAATATTATTATTTCAAATTTATAATTTTATGAAAATATATTAATTTAAATATAAATAAGATATTTATTTATTTAGAAATATCAGAAAAGAGCTTCTAGGTGCTTTAAGACAGCTCTTTTCTTAATATTAAAAAAAATATAAATATTAAAGCATTTATTTAAAATAGATATAATTTATAAAAGTAATATATTTAATTATTTAAAATATCAGAAAATGGACATCCAGTTGTTTTAAGACTACCCTTTCTTAATATTTAAAAACATAATTAAAATAATTTATAAATAATTTATAAAATTTATAAAAAGGATTATAAATAAATATTACTTATTGTATATATATTTATATGAATAAATAATAATAATATTCAAATATTAAGAACATATAAAAATAATAATAACTAAAATCAATATATATATAAAAATAATAATACTTATAATTAAATAAAGGTATTAAATGGCTAAATTATAACATTCTTAAAATTAGATTCCTAATTTACCAATAATTATTTAATATTCTAGTGACTAAACATGCAATTTTACTCGTATTATTTATTTATTGATTAAAATAAAATTGTGTAAAATTTGAACATCAAATTAAAATAAATTAAAACATGTTGTTCGGGATTAAAATATTAATTTCTAAAATTAAAGGACTAAATCTGTTATTTATTTAAAATATATATAATTTCGGTTAAGGACTAAAATACATATATGTAAAATTCGAAAACCGAATTAAAAGAATCTAAAATTTAATTTAGTGGCTAAAATATAAAGTTATAAAACTGATAGACTGCAGATGGGGTTTACCCATATATGAAATTACACAGATACCCTCACCAAAACGACGTCGATTTGATGAGGGTATTTATACCCTTTTAAGCCGGCCCCAAGGGCCACCCTTCTCATTTCTTCCTTTCTTCTTTTCTCTGTAATAGAGAGAAAAATTTTCTCTCTAAACCCTCCACCGGTAGCCGTGTTCCGACACCGATCACCACCGCCGGCCACCGTTCACCGTGAACGGTAGCCGGAAACTTACAAAATACCCCAAAACTTAGATCTTCACTTTCTAAGTCCGAATAAGGCCTTTATTTATCCTAAAAACCCTTAGGATTTCCTAGATCTGGTTGCTGTATTGTTGGTTGTTGTCTGCTTGTTTCTGTTCTGCTCTCTCTTTTTTTCTTCTCTACAGGAGATGGCCATTTATAGGCCTCGTCGGTGTCTTCTTCGGACCAGTTAAAGGAATGGCCCTCGGTGAGTCACCGAACTATGGTGGTGACTCACCATAGGGTAGCAACGTGGACAAGGCAACTGGTTTCTGGAGGCTTCAACGTGGCAGCTGGGCGTTGGATCACCTGTAGGCCTGTAAACGAACCGAACGCACACGAACGGAGGTATGTTCATGTTCGTTCATTTAATAAATAAATGAACATAAACGAACACGAACATAAACGAACAAAATATTTTTTGTTCATGTTCGTTTATTAAGGAATATAATTTGTTCATGTTCGTTCATTTAATAAAATAAACGAACATAAACGAACACGAACATAAACAAACACGAACATAAATGAACACGAACATAAACGAACATAAACGTTGGAGACCCTACCTAGGGGTATAAACGAGCCGAGTCGAGCTCGAGTATTGCTGAGCTCGACTCGAACTCGAAACTTTCAAAGTCAGCTCGACTCGACTCGAAAACTCGCGAGCTTAAAATTATCAAGCTCAACTCGAACTCGAAATATAATATTGAAACTCGACTCGAACTCAAAAAAAAATTAAGATATTGATTCAAGCTCGATTCCGAGCTCGATTCCGAGCTCGACATTGCCCCAAGCGCAAAGATGCTTAAACCTATTCTCCCCCATCTTCTTTTATATAAGTTACCAACCCCGAGCTGCTTGTTTGCTACTGATGTCGGATTGCATAACGTTCCTCCACTTTCTTTCTTCTTATCTCCTTCAACAACAGTCGAGATGAACACAGATTGTGTTTCATGTGATTGCCGACCTTAATCCATGGGGATCAAACAAACATGTCCTTAGCTTTGTGCTATGTAGAAGTTGAAAATTGGGAGATGAGAGAAGTATGTTGGTTTATTATTCACACCAACTCATACATCAAAAACCATTCTTTCTCGGCTGGCTAAACTTTCATATCCGGATGGTGCACAAAATTTGTTTGATGAAACGCGTTAAAGAACTTCTCAACCTATGTAATAAGGCCTCACCATTATTGGGTTCTTGAGTTCAAAGTAAGCTGACTTGAGTTGCTGGTTGATCACTATTTACTTGTAAATTCGAATACTCCATTTATATATGAAAGAAAAGAAGATTATTTGAGTAAAAGAAATGGTGCTTAATACTTAACATCCCTTCCAGAATCCATCACCTTTGGACTTGGTTTCGAAAGCAACCGGTTTCTGGGACTCCTCTTTGCTCATCGGATAACCAGTTGGTGGTGCAGTCACATAGGGTTCCGGCGCAGTAGATGTTGACGGTGCTGGGTATGCAGCTTATGGATCGTTCAAAAAGAACTAAACTGTGTTAATATTATTGGATTTTCCAAATAAAATTGGGTTAATTATGGAATTGGCCATCAGAATATCATATTAATTAATATTTTTAAGATACTTACAAATTGGTCACCAAAATTGATTTAAGAAGATTGGGTTAAACATAAATGAATGAACATAAATGAACATAACCGAACGAACATAAACGAACATAACCGAACGAACATAACCGAACGTTCACGAACGTAAATGAACGAACGAGACCTATGTTCATGTTCGTTCATTTAATTAAACGAACACAAAATCTTGTTCATGTGCGTTCATTTATTAAATAAACGCACATAAACGAACTTCCCGCCGCACGGTTCATGAACGGTTCGCTGAACGTTCAGTTCATTTACAGGCCTAATCACCTGGCAGTGCTAGAAGCTGCTACAACTGATGCGTGGAGGGGCTGCTCGTTGAAAGCTGCTGAAAATGATGCGTTGGGGGCTGCTGGATGGAGGGGGCTGCTCGGGTAAAAATTTAGTGTCTACAAATGGATACATTTCACAATGGGGCCAATTTACTGCACAGATTGAGCCTATTGCATCTGCTGTGCCTTATATGCTTGCAAGGTATGCTACGATTTGCCGGCTTTAATTGATAGAGCTTGAATTCCTCTGGTCCTTGACCTTCTTTGGCATTTGTTATTGTTGGTTTTCTTGTTTAGTGGTAACCATGAACGTGACTGGCCTGGAACTGGATCCTTGTATGAGAACAATGATTCTGGAGGAGAATGTGGTGTGTTGGCTGAAATTATGTTTTTTGTTCCTGCTGAGAATAAAGTTAAGTACTGGTATGCTTCGTTACTACAGCTCTTTACTGGACTGGAAGTCTTTATGTCCGACACTTTTTCGAACATAAGTATGGACCTATGGGGTGTGATTCATTCTCACAGGTACTCCACTGACTATGGCATGTTCCGATTCTGCATAGCGGACTCGGAACATGATTGGAGGGAGGGAACTGAGCAATACAAGTTCATCGAACATTGCCTCACATCAGTTGACAGACAAAGGCAACCATGGCTGATCTTTCTTTCACATAGGGTTCTTGTCTATTCTTCTGACCTCAGTTATGCTGTTCAAGGATCATTTGGAGAACCAATGGCAAAGGAAAGCCTTCAAAAACTCTGGCAGAAGTACAAGGTCGACATTGCCATCTACGGCCATGTGCATAATTACGAAAGGGCATGTCCCATATGCGAGGTACTCCTAAAAGTTTTACCCACATTCAAGATCTATCCCAAACAAATCCGAAACTTGGTCTAGGTAGTTCATGTATAACTATTGAGAATGGTTCAGGGTATAGAATCAATGCACTGCTGATGAAAAACGGTACTATAAAGGCTCGCTGAAGGGAATGATACACGTGGTTGCGGGTGTGGGAGGAGCAAGCCTTTCACCATTCACCACTCTGAAGACCAAATGGAGCTTATATAGAGATTGTGATTATGGATTCGTTAAACTTACAGCGTTCGATCATTCGAACTTGCTGTTCGAATACAAGAAGAGCAGTGACAGGAAGGTTCATGATTCTTTCAGAAAATCCCGGGATTATCGAGACATCTTAACCTGCACTGTGGATAGTTGCCCTGCTACAACACTAGCATCTTGAAGATAGTTCAGTTTGTTTGATGGTATTGTCTTGGTTCACCAGCCTGAGCATGCTGTCTGAAAATATTACTTGTAAATCTTACCCTCAAAACTGCATGTATTTGCAATTTTCTTCTTGTAAATATTGGAAATGAAATAGGAATAATTCGGATTTTGAAAGAAAAAGTTGTGCCTTTTATCCTTCTACTATTTATTTATTTTTGAAATATTCATATTTGACGCTCGTATTTGCACAAACCCGAACTAATCATTGAAACCTTGTTGAAAGTCATCTAGGAAGTAAAAAATGTACCCCAATATGTACTTGAAAATAACTTCAGGAGCTTAAAGACCATACAGGATGCACCTCACGGATATCCCCTTTAGGAATCATTCGTTTTGTTTCTAAATTTATTTGCGGAAAATTGAGGCCAGCAGGTCTCGTGGTGTAGTTGGTTATCACATCAGTCTGACACACTGAAGGTCTCCGGTTCGAATCTAAGCGAAGCCAACTTTCTTCATTTTACAGCTTTTTTATTAAAAAATAGAAAAATAGATAAAATAAAATTCTCGCCGTTGCCGGGGATCGAACCCGGGTCACCCGCGTGACAGGCGGGAATACTTACCACTATACTACAACGACCTTGCTGAAACATGTTTGTTAATGTTATTTTAAACTAAATAAAATGGAAATTGGACTTGTTTATAAACTATGTATCTGTTGCCTTGTTTCACGCTCCGTGTTATTTTATAAACATTTAAATTAATTGTTTATTGAAATTAAATATAGAATTATGATTGTTTTTGAGTTAATTACAATTCTTATATTCATTCATAAATAAATACATGTAAACTTAACATTTTAAATTCATTCTTAAAAATAATTAAAACTATTTTTCAGCAGTTTAATATAAGTATAAAATCAATTTATTAGTGGATATATTGACAATGTCTTTTAAATACACCACTAGAAATAAATAAAATATTGTGTATATGTGAATCACCTTTAAATTTTATCTTCTAATTACATAAATAAAATTTATCCAAAAATGTTTAATGCATGAGTAGACACTTCTATAGTGTTTGACACGTATTCTGAATGAATAATGGTCCATGTTTTATCCATTTTCAGGGACAGAACATTTTGTTAACATGTGTTACTACTACAACAGCAAAACCCTTCAAAATTGGAGTGAACTGAACTAACTGATGATTGATGCATTTAGAAAATTTTTATCAAGTAATTATTCATTACATGAAAATCCTACCCTCAAAACAGCACGAGTTTGCAATGTTTCTGCCTGTAAATATTGGAAATGAAATAAAAGATTAATAATTATCATCTTTAAGCTCTCAACAGCCTACAATGGGAATACATTATTGTACCTGAAATATAACAAGAATGAGCAGTACAATCCAGCACCTGTTATAACCAGAACCCAAGTAAACAAAAGAAGATATATATTTGCTGAAAGAGTCAGCTAGGAAGAAAATCGTACCTCAAATGATATGTACTTGAAAATAACTTTAGGAGCTTAAAGACCATACAGGATGCACCTCTCGGATATCCCCTCGCTGTTGAGAAAAAGAAATTCAATTGGCTATGTAACTGAAAAACAAATGCATTTGAAGCATTTTTAACAGTTAGCTACTGATAGACATACCTTTGCATCAAGGGACGTGCAAGTTAGCTCCAACGCTAGTTCCAGAGTCCTATATTCAAACGTCGTGTAAAATCATTTGTTCAAAATATTTCTTAGTTATTAATAGGTGTGTAAACGAATCAAGTCGAACTCGAGTATTATTGAGCTTCATTTGACTCAAAAAGTTTAAAGTTGAACCTATTAAGACACTTGCTTAAACCCCATAACATTTTCTTTTATCACTTAATAAATTTAGTACATGAGAAAGCAAGCAAGGGATCACTTTAGAAACAGAACATTCCTTTCAATGTAAAAAATAAAACACAACAAATAGTGCTAACCAAGTGACTTTTGTAGTTAATGAATTATTGTTATTCCCTAAGAATATGGATTCGCGCACTAAGAATGTCAGGGGTGTGAACGTTCAATCTCAAGAACTTGAGAGTTATCTTTAAATATATATTGCCTTGTACAAAATTTTCAAAATTAATTTTGAAAAACATTTTCCAGCATCAAATTTTAAAAATATTCTTTTAGATAATGTGAAACTGATCTTTAATGTCCATAATTCAACATAAAATCCCTAAATAATTTCAATAATATACTATGTATATATATATATGTATGATTTAACTTTTCTATTTTTTGAGATATGAAACATAAATATTCTGCAAAATTATATCCAAGAACCAATAAAGTTGGGCAAAAACACATATATTCTCTTTTTTCAGATGATGAAAAGCCTTTGAACAATAAGATAACGTGCAAGCAGAAGTAAAAGAGAAGATCTAAAACTTGATTTTCCACAAACAAGAAGAATGCGATCTTTCAACTGCATATCTCAATTCAGACGACTCATTCCCAGTGATTCTATGACCATAAAACTTGGATCTGAGCTTTGTAAGCAATGCTTTGTGCCTCGCTTGCTTCCTGTTTAACACGATGTAGGCAGCCAATCCCAGCCATTCAACTTCATCCCTCACCAATTTATGCCTATGATCCGAACACGAACCCGTGCTCGGACAAACGAACCCATTTGTTTCTCTATCAGCCCATGCATGTACCTAGATATGGGAAGGCATAATTGGCACAACTAGAGTTTTTTCATATAATTTACAGCAAGACAATGAAGAATTGAATCCATACCTGAAGGATTTTTAGATGATTTTCAGACAATATGTTCTGCGAGGTTGGAAAAAATCTGATAACTCTTCGAGATAACAATGGAACTTCATCGCACACAAAAGAAAAGCTTGATAGATGTTCAGTCTAACAACGGATGCCGAATTGATACTTAGATCAAAGAACAAGGGATGACATTTGGGTCTCGTAAAGTCGCACAGTTTTTGCTTTAGATGCTTGCCTGGTTGTCCTCTCGTTTTGATGATAAGAGTGCATCTTAAGTGCATACCTAAGTACCTGTCAATGGCACCACAGATATGCTAAGTTACTTTTTGATGCAGGGGGATCCGAGATAGATGATGCTGAGCTGTCAGATTGCACCTTGATGGCGCTGAGATACCATGAATTGGCAGATCAGCGCAAAGGCGGGAATTGATTGTGACATGTTCCTCATTGGGGTCGTTTTGAGTATGTTTCAATCTTTTGGCCATAACTTTGGCTACAGCTGTCAGAATCGCGCATAAGACCCCAATTCAGAAAGCTCTTTTCGACGCGTACGCTCTCCACATTAGATATTTTTTAGTATTTATGGTAATATTTCGATTGTCAATTAGGAAGTCAATTTAAATCCGATTTAGGCAGGATTTTTTGGAGATTGCTTATTTTATTTCGAATTTCAATTTAGAGTGATTTTCGGGATTTTGCTATTTTTTGCAAAATTCGAATAAAGACGATTTTTGGCTATAACAGTCCGGCTTGTGGACTGATTTTGGCATTGTTTGATTTGATAATATTTTATTAAATCCTAGAGACTTTTTTTCTCTGGATTTTTTTGGGCAAATTTTCTCTTGTGAATCATCTGTTGGAGCGCTTGTAGGATAATCACTATTCTGTCTGGCGCCAGTTGGTATCAGAGCTTCAACATCTTCCTGGGAAATTCACCAGTTTCAATGGCTGGAGGTCGTGGTCGTGGTCGTCGTGAGCAGGTTCCGAATGAGGAAGCCCAACGTCGTGATCGCAACGTTCAGGATGTGATGATTGCGGATTTACAGAGGCAAGTCGCAGAATTAACCCAGCACCTGGCGGCGCAGGATTTCGAGGATCGTGAGGCCTCTGATCACGATACCAATTCCGCTTTCGAAAACCCATATCACAATCGTTCTCTATTTCGGGAACACCGTGGTCGGGAAGAGTGTCATGGAGACCTTAGTTTTCGGGTCGATCTCCCTGAGTTTTTTGGTACGTTACAGGCCGAGGGATTCGTGGATTGGATTAATGAAGTAGAGCATATTTTTGAATATAAGGAAGTCCCTGATCGTGTGAAAGTGAAACTGATCGCCATCAAACTCAAGGGCAGAGCATCTGCGTGGTGGGAACAGTTGCGACGTTCACGAGAAAGACAAGGCAAGGCCAAGATCATTGATTGGGAGAAGATGAAGGGTCACTTCCTTCCCTTCGGCTACACGCAAACCTTGTTTCAGCGACTTCATGCGTTGAGGCAGGGCGCACGATCAGTCGATGATTACACGGAGTTTTACCAATTGGTCGCCCGGAACGATTTATATGAGACGGAGGAGCAAATGGTGGCGCGGTATTTGGGGGGTTTACACCAGCCCTTACAAGATGTCCTCAGCCTTCATTCACTGTGGAGTGTTTCGAAAGCTTACCAGCGTGCACTTGCTGTTGAAAAACAGCAAAACAGGAGACCAGTGATCAGGAACGATCACAACAGTCGACCAGTTCGTCCTCAGGATTCCCTTCCTGCTCAACAGCCACCGCAGGGTAATTCTAACCCTACTATTAGATGTTTTCGTTGTGGTGAACAAGGGCATAGGGCGACTGATTACAAGAAGCCTGCTAGTCAAAAGGGCAAAAATTTGTTGATTGAGGAAAACGCGGAAGACGAGACTGAGGAGATTGGCGAACCTGTGTATGACGATGATGAGACTGATGATGTGCTGTATGGAGATGGTCATGAGACTCTGGTCGTTCGCAAGAGTCTTCTTACTCCCAAGGGCGATTCAGGGAACGATTGGTTGAGAACCAATATTTTCCACATGACCTGCACAGATGCAGATAAAGTCTGCAAAATGATCATTGACAGCGGCAGTTGTGAGAATGTAGTGTCCGAGGAGGTTGTCCAGAAATTGCAGTTGAAGACGGACCGTCATCCTAAGCCATACAAGCTGTCATGGCTAAATAAAGGCAGTGAGGTAACAGTTGATAGGCGATGCCTCGTGTCTTTTTCAATTGGTAAAAAATA